CCTAAAGATTTATAGCCTCAGAAATCCTGTACAGGGTCACTATGAGTCGGAACCGACTCCATGGCACATCATCACTACCACCTCAATAGTAAAACTTAACAGTTGCTGCTACAGTGTGCTCTTCAGTGGATTTAAATTCATAGGGTCCCTATATGACGTTAGTTTCCTAGGCTGTGGAGCTATAGGTTAATGCACGTAACTGAAAGGTCAGTTTGAGCCACATGCATGGCGGTTGAACCCTACCAGTCACTACTCGAAAACCCTATACAGGGTCGCTATGAGTCAGCATCAACTCAATGGCACATAACAACATCATTATTATAGCACTAGATCACCAAGTCTTTTCTATCACAGTTGGGTGGATTAGAACCATAGACCTTTTAGTTAGCAATCAAGTACTTAACCAATGCACCATAAGAGCTGCTTAAACTTTGGTATACATTTCCTATTTCCTTCCATTTAAACATCAGTAATCAAATATAACAGACCTTAGGCAGTGAGCCTGCAACATTGGGAAAGATCAAGATAAATAAACAGAAAAACAAGCCCCAAAGGAAACAAAAAATAGTTTAAACTATGGAAGATACTCTTATCATATCCATATGACAAAAGACTGTCATTTTTCAATGTTTTGACTAAAGAGAACCCAAAAAGAATCTCTGAATAGTAACATAATTATCAAATTAAATATTCAACTAGATCGAAAATATGGGTAACTAATATGTGACTGTGGTTCATGCGCTTGACAGCAAAATAGGTTTGAAATGCAAAGTTGGTGGTTCCAAGCTCACCAGCTGCTTCTTGGAAATCTTATACCGGGTCACTATGAGTTGGAACCAACTCAACAGCATTTAACAACAACAAAAAATCTCTCATAAAGCAGAAATATGGAAAAGGCAGAAGAACAGTTAGGAAACATGGTCAACATCTGACTAATAAAGTGTTTTCAGAAAACACAAAGAAAATTTCCCAGACCTGAAAGGATTACTTTTGAAGTTGAAAAAGTCCAAGTCCCAGCAAAAATAAATGAGAGATTAAACCAATAAAACTTCAGAACACCAGAAGATATGAGGACTCCCATAAAAGATAGAATAGGTCACCTAACAGTGAAGACTCACTTATGAATCATGCAACTCATCAGCAATATTAGCCATCAGACTCAGAAACAATTGCTTGCTCTAAAGAAGATATACAAATGCTCAATAAGTATGTAAAAATATGCTTACCATTATGAGTTATTAGAAAAATACAAGTTAAAACCATAATGACATACCATTTCATACATCAAGTGTTGATGAAGACACTGAAACCCTTGTGTGTTGCTGGTGGGAATGTAAATGGTGTTTGTTGTTGCTGTTGTCGGTTCTGACTCATAGCAACACTGCATAGGGTTTCCGAGGAGTGGCTGGTGAGCTTGAACCACTGACCTTGCAGTCCAGCACATTAACAGCACCACACCAGGATTCCATAAAATGGTGTGGTTACTGTGAAAAAGTTTGGCAGTTTCTCAAAATTAAACACAGAACAGCCAGATGACATTACAATTCTACTCTTAGCTGTATACTGAAAACATGAAAGCAGAGACTCACACAAATAAATTATACAACAATGTTCATTGCTATATTTGTTAATGACACTATTTATTAAAGCTTGTTAACACAACTTCAGTGATTTTGAGCATATTCCTCAAATGGTATAGGAAACACTGTATTTGATATCTGGAACCTATTTAATCAATATTTCCCCAACATATATGGTTTTCCTCAAGCACTAGAGGTTAAAAAAAAAAGCATCAATGTATTACTGGAAACATCTACAAAACATACCCAAAACACTGTTAATTACATAAAGAAAAGAAAAGATCAGGAATCTATAGGTTGCCATCTCTCAAAAAGCAACTTTTGTATATCTGACAATGCCAAAATCAATCCTCTTTGTTTCTTTTCTTTTCTATTTTTTATAAAGAACTACAATTTTTTGAGGTCACTGAAATATATAATACAAACAACTCAACTACTGTCAATCAAAAGGTAGTCTTTTTCAACTAAGGAGCTCTGGTAGTGCAGTGGTTATGAATCGGGTTGCAAACCGCAAGGTCAGCAGTTCGAAACTACCAGCTGTTCCACGGGAGAAAGATGAGGCTTTCTGCTCCCTTAAAGATTACAGCCTCGGAAACCCTGTACAGGGTCGCTATGAGTCGGAACCGACTCCACAGCACATAACAACCACCACCACCACCACCACCATAGTACATCAAACTGATTCTGTAAAACTGAGAACAAGGCAGCAGTTAACTCTTAATTTTAGCACTGTTAAAACCAAGGTTCCAAAACATTCTATAATGTATGGGTTTAAATGCTCTGCAGGCTAGACAGGGTCAATTCCCTGCTGAGCTTCAGTCAAGACAGTAAAATTCTATACAGTCAGGTACAAACATCAGGTTAACATCTATGTGGTTTTCTGTGTTTTTTTTTAACAGCAAAAAGCTAAGAGTTAGTGAATAACTATAACTAAATTGATAAATATAAGGGCTTCACTAATAGTTGTTTAAAGTGTCTTGCTTGCAACTCTCTCAAATCTAAATTAATTTGAAAATTAAATGTTAAAACTTTTTTTTCCAAAAATGTTTTCCATTATGTAAGCATTCAAAAACATGTAAGCCTTTTACTGAATCTAACATCCCAAAGGGCAAAACGAACTTTGAAGCAAACATGATAAATATGTTGCCTAATGGGACCATGAAATACAAGTAATCCTAAAGAGCTTTATTATTTATAGTTCCTCATATATACTCCCTTGGTGTATCTTTAAAACCCAGATACTATATACATATTAATATAAACAATTCTGCTACAGAAGAGCAAGATAATTGTAGCAAACAAATTTAATACAAGTGAATTCAGAAAATAATTCTATTTAAAGTCTTAAGAAATTTTCAGTTTAAAAACTAATGGAACTTACACATTAATAATTCTCATCTCAATTTTTTTCACAAGTACTTCAGTAACAGTACTCTAAGTCTTCAATAAGCAAACAAAGTCTTCAAAATTGGAGAGATTTTTCACATCAATAAATTTTTATAAACAGAAAACATTTTTTTCTTTCAAGACAGCAAGTAGGAATACTATCATGTTTTTTATCAGTAAAGAAGTCTAATGTGATGATGATACATGTGCCCATTATAGCATCCTTAAAGATAACTGTATTTCCAACAAGTAAATAAATTCAGTAAGTGTGTTTCTGAATTGGGACTAAACCAGAAAAACTGTGCATAACTGTCAAAACGTGCTTAACAATAAAAAATCGTTAGATCTCCTCTACTGACATAAGCACCAAAGTCAAAAACTTGAACAATGCATACATAAAACAAAATTTTTAAAACTTTAAAACATTTAGAATACAGCCATGAAAACAATGTAAACCTAAGCAATAACACAACAGAAATGTATGTAATTCAGATATACCATTAGCAAGCAACACAAAAGACCTCAGTGTGAAGTTGTTAAAATACAAAGAATTCCTAGAAGTCAAAGTATTGAGGTCTTCTGGTAAAAAAATCAGACAAATTTGGGGATAAGCAGCAGACCATCTACTTCAACTTTCAGTATGAAGGGGCATCAAAAATCATGGGAAAATACCAGTATCTTTTCATCCCACTTTTCCATGAATTTTTTGAAATCCCCTTGTATGACTATATACAATTTAAAATATTTGGTAAAAAATATTAAAAAGAAATGAAAAAAAAATACTGAAAAGCTGTAGAGCAAGACAAGTCTACAGTCACTGAAAACACAGACGAATACCACATAAACCTGTGAACTAATCTAGGGAACAGTGGGCGAAAGCCTTATTTCTTTATGTGAACCTGATTTTCCTTTATCCTACAGCACCACACCAGGGAGTCCTGATGTGGCACTGTGGGATAAAGCACTGGACTGCAATGTCTGTTTGAAGCATAAGGTTGATGGTAAAAACTCACCAGCCGCTCCTTGGAAACCCTGTATAGGGATACAGAGTCGCTATGAGTCGGAACCTACTAGACGGCACTTAACAACAACAATTTCAGTTTACAGGCTAAGTAATTGTCCCAAAGTGTGCGGTAATTTTTGTTTGCTTTATAAAAGAAAACCTACATGTTGTTTTATGTAGGAACAACATAACTACAGAATAATTTCTCATTAAAAATTATAAAACCCTACAAAAAGTTACTATTCTCAAACTTTCTGCGCTTTAACTATAGATCTCAGAATACAGCTGTCCAGTGGAAATACAATGCAAGGCATACGCAGTTTTAAATTTTCAAGTAACCGCTTTAAAACAGGTAAAAATAAAATAGTATCATTTATTTTACCAAAAATATCCAAAATATTTCAACATGTATTCAGTACTTTTTAAATTGATAAAATAGTTTATATATTTTAAAAATAAGTTTCATAGTAATATGTAGGTTAGTGGTTACTGTATTGGACAGCACAGATCTACAGTTATTTGTCTGGGTTTTGAGATACATGTAACAAAATACCAAAGAATGGGAGCAAACAATACATTAAATGTGGAAAACTGGGAACCAGGACATCGAAAAAGTGCAAATCACACAATTTATCCTTCTCCCTATAGACAACCCTATACCTAAAGTGACAACATGTCCCAATTTTACAGGCAATCCCTATTTGCCAGGGAGAATCCCAATTTATACCTGTTGTCATGCTATAATTATTAACAGTGTCCCTTTAATTCTCAAAAGTGTCCCATTGGGGTAACTATGTGATCAACCTACCTAAAACATCCTTAAAGATAATGCCACATTCCTTGGGAGAAAATTTAGTTTGAATTCTAATTCTGATGCCTAGAAAAGCAGTCCAGAATTCAAAGGGAAAATCCTAAATTCGCTATCCTCATCATTTATTTAAAAAAAACAAAAACAAAAAAAGAGCTGCTAAAAATTCCTTTTACTTTAAACTGTAGACTAAAAAAAAAAAAAAAAAAAAAGTAAGAATTACCTGTTGAACAAGGCATCTGGAAATTGGGATCATTGCTATCCAAAACAGGCAAACAGAACTGGTTACTTGCAGATCCTAGCATAGGATCCTTATCGCTGAGCATGTTCTTCAGCGAGTCCTCTAAGACATTTTGACTTGTACTAAAATCCTCACAGACTTCATTCTCCAGGTTGGATCCTAGAAATAGGGCATCATCTAAGTGTTCAGTAGGAATTAAATGATTAAATGTATCAACTATATCCATGAAGACTTCTGTGTGTCTTTCAGCCCTATAGAAAGACAAAAAAAATACCATAAGAAATAAAGCTATCAATTGAAAATCACCTAAAACCAAATTATTTTAATCGTTTTGAGTCTACGAACACACTTTAGGAATTTCTGAAAGGATGTTAAAAAAAATCCCTGACTGTTTTTAGAAAACACATTTGGAAATGTAAAACGTATCTTTACTAAATAATGTTTCTTCATCATGCATCTTACCAGAAATACTATTGTTTAGTTTGGTTCATGATTTTTAGAGGGGAAGGGGAGCTATGTATATAGTCCATTAATTTAATACATTTAAAAGAAATACATGGTTTAAATAATAAAAACCATGTTTTAACCATAACATTTTCATAAGAATTAGGCATTGTTTTTACATTAAACTCATATAAAAGCTGAAATTATTTAAGACATTGTACCATACCTATTAAAACTGTTATGTAGCCTTGTTTTATATAAAACATCATTTAAAGGAAAACAGACAAAAAAGTTTTTTTGTGGGGACAGGGGAGGAAAATGGAAAGAAATTTAAACTCAACAAATCACATCACCACCAACAACAAAACTGTAAAAGCACACAAAAGTGTGCACACCACAATTTTATGAAATCACAATGATCAGTTAGTTTTACTAAAATTCTAAAACAATATTAATGTCCATTTATCTATGAAAATTTTCTCAAAGAAACTGGCCTTGAATTCTTTCCCCTATAAAAATAGGGGGAGGAGAAGTTTAAAAATACCATTAATTGAGTAGTATATGCCGGCACTGAGCTAATAAGCATTTTACTTATATTACTTAAAACCTGAAAAAAAATTGTGCTGCCAAGTCCAGTACAAGACAACTCTGTAAGACAGAATAGAACTGCCCCATGTAGTTGCAAGGCAGAATGGACCGACAGCACTCAACACCAACAATCTTACTGCAACATCTTTCTCCTGCAAAGCAGCTAGTGGGTTCAAACCACTGACCTTTCAGTTAGCAGCACAGCACTTAACCACTGCGCCATAAGGACTCCTTTCATAACATTTAGTCTCCAATAATTCTTGGCTCTATTATTACACTGCTTTATGAAGAACAGAATAACTTTAAAGAATTTAACTACCTTCCCCAAGGTCACAAAGCAAAGCCAAGATTCAAACCTCAGTTCACGCTCCTCTACCCATGCCCATAATTATTAATTACCCTTAACAGTGAGATAAGAAGCTGGAAAGATTTGACGCATTATAGGCTCTTCTTTTAAAGCAATTTTCTGCATAATGCATCAGTGGTTGTCTTGAGCCTGGGAGAAAAGTGATGAACTGCAAAGAGGCAAGAGGTCACTTTGGGGATACTAGACATATTCTAAATCTTGATTGTGGTGGTGGTTTCATGGGTGTATATATCTGCCAAAATACATTAAGATGTAATCTGATAAACTTAGAAGTGAGAATGGTTAAGACTTCTCACGCATTTTGGACATGTCGTCAGGAGGCACCAGTCCCCAGAGTACAACATTATCTAATAGTGACCCTATACTATATATGGTGAAGTAGAGGATCAGTGATAAAGAGGAAGACCCCCCCCCCCAAAAGATGGATTGACAGAGTGGCTGCAACAATGATCTCAAATATATCAACAATTGTGAGGATGGCACAGGATTGGGCAGTGCTTCCTTCTGTTGTACTACATAGGGTTGCTGTAACTAGGAGGCAACTCAAAGTACCTAACAATCAAAAACAAAAAAGAATATATCCTCACTCTAATGAAAATTAATACGAACGGGTAAGAGTTTCAATTCTTCTCAAACTTGACAATTTACATTAGATATTAATAAACCTTGAAATAAAAGGTTAGCTACTTTAATCACTACCAGCTGCTCCGCGGGATAAAGATGAGGCTTTCTACTCCCGTAAGGATTTACACCCTCGGAAACCCTGTACAGGGTCGCTATGGGTCGGAACCAACTCGACGGCACTTAACAACAACAACAACAACTTTATTCACTTGTTGATTATTTTGTATGTATTTCCTAATAACATTATCAGCAAATTACAATTAGCAATGCTGATGGAGAGTCAGGACAAATTTCCTTACGGTTTTAATTCCTCGCAGCTATCTGATCTCAAGATGGCACTTAACAACATCTTATCTCAGAGGACTCCTGGTGTGGCACTAGACATTGAACCACAAGGTCGGTAGTTCAAACTCACCAGCTACTCCTTGGAATCCCTATACAGGGTCGGTATATAGTGTCACTATTAAGAGTTGGAATCGACTTAATGGCAGTTAGTTTCAGTTTTGAGTGTTAAGGGGTAAATTAAAGGGTGCTTCCATTGAAAGTATACACTATCAGGGAAAAAAAGACTTCCATGACTATGAAACAAGAAGAAAAGCTAGATATAACAAAGTTACATTTTTAAAATAATATATTTGACTTATTCAACAACAATTTAACTAAGCAGCTACTATTATGTCAAACACTTTTAACAGGGTCAGTAAGACTGGGCCTCTTCCAAGGCAGGATAGAGTATGTAGTTGTTGTTAGGTGCCAGAGTAGCTTCCACCAACCTTGAAGAACCATCAATCTAATATGTGGTTAGCGGTATAAAGAGCTTATCCTATAGTGCCAACCAGGACCCCTGATTAAAGTATAAAGTATCCCAGATTTATGGATCCAAAGATAATGAATGCCAAAAGATACATCACTAGTGCTTTGAAGAACTCATTTTAAGAGAAATTATTATAAATTAATAACATTTTTTTCATATGTGGTTCCAAGGAAGAATACCAAAAATGATAGTTTACAGCCATTTAAGACTATCTGAAAGTAACACTTATTGAAGGTATAAAGTTTTCTTTTCTTTTCTTTTAAGAGTTCCAGATTTCAAGTGCTCATGATAAAAAATAACAACTCTCCATCCTAATTGGAAAACAAATGTCCAATCAATCAAAAATACAAATCACTTTAAATAAACAATAATTTACTAAATAAAACATGGTATCCCGGGCTGGAACCTAGAACATAAAAATGGTATTGAAGGAAAAACTGAAATCAAAGTAAAGTCTGGAGTGTCATTAATAGTAATGTACTAAAGTTAACCTTTCCAAGTTTTTGATAAAGAAACCAAGGTTTTGTCAGATGTTAACAACAGGGAGAAATGGGAGATGGTTATACAAGAATTCTCTGTACTGTCTGAGAAACTTTTCTATAAATCTAAAATTATTCCAAAATAATTTTGTTTTTTTTTTTAAGTAAAAAGAACATTATCTGAAATAAAACATTCTATGATAACTAATGGACTCCTGGTGTGGCGCTATAGGATCAGCACTGGACTGTGAACCACAAAGTCAACTGTTCAAACCCACCAGTTGCTCCTTGGAAGCCCTATACAGAGTCACTAAGAAGAGGTGGAATCCACTCCACTGCACAGCACTTAACAATAACAAGATAACTAATAACATGGATAAACAAACATAATCAAATCATCAGGGGAAGTTAAGGGCTAATACACTTTTTATTAACTATACAAACTGCCTGATTTTTAAACCAATTTCTGGTTCTGACATTGAAATTCTTATGTAAATACCTCCTTACATGTACCCGGCATTATAAATGTAATAATGAACATATAACAAGCCTCATGGATTCTATTTTAAATGGTTAATCATTTCTATGTTGTTGTTATTAAGTGCTATCGAATCAGTTCCGACTCACAGTGACACTGTATATAGAATTTCTGAGGTTTAAAATCTTTAAGGTCACAGAAAGTCTCCTTTTTCTCCTGTAGAATGGCTTATCATATAGAGCCACCTCATAATTAATCAATTAAAGGAGCTCTGGTAGCGTAGTGGTTACGAATCAGGCTGTGAGCCACAAGGTCAGCAGTTCTAAACTACCAGCGGTTCCGGGAGAGAAAGATGAGGCGGTCTGCTCCTGTAAAGATTTAGAACCTCGGAAACCCTGTGTAGGGTCCCTATGAGTCGGAAGCGACTCCACGGCACATAACAACAACAACGTAATTTGGACACATATGTTGCAATCAGAAATTGTTTCTGGGTTTAGAAACACTAGGCTACCAGCTAAGGGACTCTGGTACTGTAGTGATTATGAATCAGGCTGCTAATCTCATGGCCATCAATTTGAAACTACCAGCAGTTCTGCAGGAGAAAGATTTATAGGCTCAGAAACCCTGCATAGGGTTGCTAAGAGTTGCAAGTGACTGCAAGGCACATAATCACCATCATGTTATTAGCTAAATCAGACATTTGGATAATCTGCTTAATTCAAAATCGTTCATTTATTCATACATTTATTTAAAATCTACTACAAAGCATTAGAGGTACCAGGAAAGCAAACTCCAGTCTCACATTTGAGCAATTCAAAATCCAACACAGAATACACACATATAAACAATACACCATGTAAATATCATAACAAAATGTGGAAGTGTCATGCTGAAAGGCTACAAATAGTACCTACAGTATCAGAAAGAAAAGTGAAACTCAGGTCAAGAAGGCTAAGCAGGTAATATGTGAACTGAATCCTAAAGACTCAGAGGACATTCCAGGCAAAGAGAACAGTATGCATTCAAATGTTAATTATGAATGCAGAGTTTGATCCTGTTAGACTATTTATAAAGATTCAACATACAATAATAAAAATAAAATTAAAAATTATTGGTACTAAATTCAGAATAAAATTTAATCCAAATTTGAAAATATTTCCCAGTTTATAATGTTTGTTTCATCTGAACTCTCAAGACAATTATACTGCAGCCAAATTCAGCGTATACTGACTGAGCATTAAGTCAGCATATATTATTTTCTAAGTGTTTCAGATCTGAAGAGCATATAAAAGAAATTAAATTTAGAAAGCACCGCCAGCAAAAAGAAGAATAAATTATACTTCTAAAAAACCCACTTCAAGGGTAAAGAAAAATTGCCTGCCCCAACTTTTCAAACACATCTTCAAAGCACAACTATTTTATAGTTTTTTTGTTTGTTTGTTTTCCAAAACTACATA